GGACATCTATACGTATAGAATTATTTCTCTCTCCTCATCTATAGCCATTTTTTGGAAGGTGTTATTTTTTCATGCTCTATTTTTTGAGGATTGTTTTTTGATTAGCATATTTTGATTTTGTTTTGTACAGTCTTTGTCACTACTCTATTTTCCTTGACTTGCTCTTTCTTTTTTCTGTTGCTGACAAATTCCATTCTCTCTCTCTTCCTTTATATTCTTTTTTCTTTCCCTTCATCATTAACAACACATCCTAAGTTACCACTGCATGTGCTCTATTCACCCTGTGAAGTTATAAGTACTTTTCTACCCTCCTGTCTCTTCTTCTTTCCCCATACCCAACTCTGTCCTTAACACCTCTTAATACTAACTGATGTATATAGAATCTGCCCCTACCACCAATGCCATAGCAATTATTAATACAGAGGAAGCCATAGACAAAAACTATTGTTTGATTTTATGCTAGCCATAATTCATGAGTACTTACTGTTTTTACTGATGGAAATTGCTGGTTCTACCATATCTGCATATTGTACCAATTAACACTGTAGATATAAAATTAGAAACTAAGTACGTAGTCTACTGCTATATATTGTTTGCATAGATTGTTGCTATCATTGGGCTCCTCCCTTTAATCTGTGAAGACACTAGTAATATAGAGAGACATTATAAACTCTAAGGTAGAAACTCTACAGCTTCAGATCCACTCAGATGGATGGGTAGACATACAAATATGAAAAAGCAAGGGAACAAACTATCCCAAACAACACCGACTACTTCAGCAACAAATTGCATTGACACCCCAGGGGAGGAAATGTCAGAGATGGAATTTAGAAAGTTCATGGTTAAACTGATATACAAGGTAAAAGGTGATGTAATAAATAAAATCAGAGAGGAAATATAAGAAGTGAAAGTCCACATCAATAAGGAGTTAGAAACCCTGAAAAAGAATCAGTTGAAAAGCCTCAGAAGAAGGAAGCCAAATAATTTAAAAAAAAACCCCTAAAATTCCAAAGGAAATCATCAAGAACAGACTAGATCACTTGGAAGATAGGTTTTCAGGACTTGGTTACAAAAGTATATAATCTTGAAAATAAAAATGAATACAGAGAGAATTATGTTGAGACTCATGAGCAGAACTTTCAAGAAATATGGGATAACAT